ACGAGGACATTCTACTATGAGAGCCTGCGGAGCACTTGTTTGCCAATGCCTCTACAGTAAGTAATTTTCTCTCTTTGTTTGAACATATTTGAATTCCTTTCAATGCACTATGAATATTGACAACATTTCCACACTACGGGTGATAGCCAGGAGGATTAGAGGTTGCAAGTCTATTTCTGGCCCCAGGCACTGGTACGAGAGGCTTCCCGTGGAGGTTCACGACACGGCTGGCTTCAGGCATTTTTGCTTAGGACTGGTGTAGATGAGGGCAGAGCCATTACTACATGGGGCCTTAGTGGAGAGATGGTGGGACACCATAGGCTTGTCCCACTTTTCATTGATCGGGGAGCTGACTCTGACCCCGTATGATTTCGTGATGCTTACCAGCATACAGGTCGCGGTTGGCAGCCCAATCCCTTTTGATCTCAACATGGCGCAGTAGAAAGCTGCACAGCTTCACCTCCTTGGAGCTATTCTAGATGCTGTTAGTCCCAGGATGGTGAGGTATAGTTGGTTCTTGGAGCACTTTTCCACTCTTCAGCCAGCTACTCCGGAGGAGGTCGCCTAGTACACCCGCGGATTTCTCATGTATCTCCTCGGTACTACCCTGTTTGCAAACAAGGAAAATACCATGGGGTTGTACATTTTGGGGGGATTGGTGCATCTACCGCAGGTGGTGAAGTACGACTGGGGTGGCTCTAGCTTGGCCACCATGTACTGCTATAGGAACTCAACATCCAGTCGAAAGGCAGATTTAGTCAGTGGCTATTGGAGAGTTTAGGAGGTACACTTTACACTTTCATTTTTGTTTTGCTTTGCATTTCCTATTTATCTCAATTGCTTTACTTAATCACTTGCCTTTTTTATTCTTGCAATTGTGGGTTTACACATATTTCACTTCCCTCGCTCCAGTCCCAGTCAGGCTGATTGAGTTGTTAGTCCCCTGCTCCTGGCATTACAACTCCCAATTCGAATGGCACCGGTACGTAGACTGAGACTTCCCTTACTTTTGCCATTTCTTTGACACTGTCACCGCGAATAGGGTAACAATACTAGCCTTTATCTTTCACTACTTTATCGTTTCCATACTGTTGTTTCTATATTGCGCTACCATTCCCATACTGTTAAACCTTATTCTTACTTTGCACCTTCTGTTCACAGGTTGATTGGCACCATTGGGCGGGTATCCCTCAGGCATCAAGAGTGATTTATGCTGCTGCATGGGAGGCCTCCACCATGCAGATTCTCTTCGAGGGCCCTTTCGGCAGGGCGTACTATTTGGGGAAGCAGTTCCTTCACCAGACTCGAGAACATGCCGATCCTGATGTTCCACATCCCCCTCTTTCTAGTATGAGGATTACCGATGATCTCCGGGACAGCCCCCTGATTGATCACCTGATGTAGGGAGAGGATGGTGACCGGTACCATGAGGTCGGCAACTTCATTACATTCCTACAGACCTAGGTGATGGCTTCGCTTACCGGGTGTGTGGCCCATGTACTTCCCGAGGTTGCTGCCGCCGCTGTTTGAGGTGCTCTCACTGCAGCTCCTATTCCTGGGCTCCCCGCGGTTCCTACCGAGGTCGTATACATGCGACTAGATAAGGTGATTGAGTAAATCCCCCTTGAGCACATCGAGGAGAGGGATCGAAGACTGGTGATTGCCTTTAGTGTCAACTAGGTACATGTTTCTTTATACTTCTACCCACTGCACTTTATTTTTTTCATTGTCCTCTGTTATTGCCGTTCATTGTACCCTGTTATTTCTGTTCACAATTCTCTACTATTTCTGTCCACTGTTCTTAAATTCTCTTCCTTTTGTAGGTACCCACGGCATATGCTGATGACCTCCTTCAGACGATTAATCGACTGCTCCTCATGGTACGGAGGAGGCAGACTGCTCTAGTTACTTACGGGATTGAGGTATACTAATTCACTGTTGTTTACTATTTTTGCAATCTTGTCCACAATTCTGCTGACCCCATTCTGATATCTGCACACATTTTAGCTAATTTTCTTCTAATATCTACACTCTTTTCAGCTTGAGCCGGCGCCAGCTGAACCCGCGAGACCTTCTCCAGTCGGGAGGCGAAGGAGACGAGGCCTAGTGAGAGGCCGTGGATGGGCTAATCGGAGGAAAGGTCGAGTGAGGTAGTGCTCACCTTCTGAAGAGTCTTTTGACGAGTATACAACCCCCGAGGATGAGGGAGATGAGGTGGACATGTCCTCCAGTAGCCCTACTGATGACAGCGACGCACCTCTTTCGTAGCCGAGGAGGAAGAAAGCGAGGATAGATTTATGATTTATTTTTCTTTTCTTTTCTTTTGCTTTGTAGTCAGGAACTAGCTTTAAATAGATCCTTGTATTTTATTTCTGAACACTTTCTTTCTTTTTGCTTTTGTAAAACAATGATCGGGGTTAGACCCTCCTGTTTATGAAAACACTACTTTGGATGACTTCTCTCGCATTGCATAGCATATGATGACCGAATGGCACAACTGTTGCATGATGATTTTGTGCAAGGCTTTAGAACTATGAATGCTTGTTTTTGAATTATTCTTGAATCAGATAACAACCTATAATTGGACAAAATGCAAAATACAACTCGAAAAATAAAAGAACGAAATGAAAACAACCTAAAAACACTAAACAACACCTGACGCAAACAAGACAAAACTCAAAACATGGCCCCGGTGTACCAAGGCAAGAACCTGCCTTCTTTGCAACTGCTTTAGTTTGGGCAGTCATTGAGGGTCGGCTAGCTCCCAATAGGCCCGGCCGGGATTCAATGAGGCACAGTCGACTCTAAAGCTGATGTCGGCTAGTGGGATCCAGCTATCATGCACTGCCTCTTCCCAAAATCTATAAATGGTTCTCCCATGTTGTTTTTCTAGCAGAATAGCAAATCTTTGGTATTTTGCTCTCAAGATGGAGATGCTGCTCAACAATAGGCTTCGATACTGGATAACCACTTTGGACGACTTAGAAAAGGTGAACTTTTGCGGTTTCGGCCTAAACGCTCTTTTTTCTTTGAGCCTTACTTCACTTTGTTTTCTGTTCCTTCATGCCGTTGTTCGATGCTGGAACTCGATCACACATGTATTCAGCTTCGGATCACAAGAAATGTGTCCGACGCTTGAAGAATTTCAAGCAGTGATGGAATCCCGGTACGACAAAGAAATCATGCCTCAGCCCCGTTTTGGCCACCTTAGGCTTTGGGATGGATGTGTGGGCTCACTTTGCATGAGGCTTGTTTCAATCCACCTACTCTCCACCTACTTCACCCACTCTCACCTACTCCACTAAACCTAACCCACCTACTTCACCCACTTAAACCTACTCCACTAAACCTAACCCACTACACCACTACCACCTCACCTATTCCACTAAACCTAACCCACTACACCTCCACTTCACCTACTCCTTACCTACTACACACTCACCCTCTTCTATATATAGGAATCATGAATCATTGTAATATATATAACATTATATCAATCAATAATACAATTCTCTATTTCTCTATACATCAATTTCAACAATATTCTATTACAAACACATGGAAGCTGAGGTACAAGTTTTGCCACTCACTGACAATTTTCATAATCTATTTTATGTATGACACCTGTATTCAAAATGTTTTACCTATTTTTTAATCTTTACAATACAAGAGAAAATATAAATCATTTGGATGTACGACGTGGCTAACAACAATTACCACCTCAACTCCACAGTTAAAAATCTATAGCAATTAGCACAAAAGCAACTTCCTTCAACTAGCATGGTGATATCATTTCTGCTTGTCAATATGGTCTGCCCATCAGCCACACAGAGGAGTTCTATCCGCTAGTTTCTTTCAGTAAGATCAGATGATGTAATGATAATTGGAAACCAAAGAGAAGCATATGGGTAGAAATCTGCAAGAGAAATGCTGCAATCTGCAAGCATGACTAATGTAAATCTTATTGTGAAATGGAGTTATTATCTACATACAACAGTTAATGTTTACGATTGGTCAAGAAATTCCAACTATCACATGCTATTCTTGATCCTTTTTACTTATATTTTTCTGAATGAAATAAAAATCATGTATTCTAATCAACACATGATTCAAACTTTTGGAGCGTTAGAATTTATTGCCCATTCCTTAGGTTAAGAATTTTATACTCCCATACTGATAACAATAATTCTCCAGGTGCTGCTCTCCCACCATCAGATCCTCAAGTACTCTAACACAGGAGTTAAAAAGTGAGGTCAAGTCGAATGTGAATGATTTTATCTTTTAGATTATTTAAAGCTTTAGCAACTGACTATCATTAGAAATTAGAAGGTAACAAACAAGCTGCAATGGAAAGGTAAAACATCTACTCAATTCAAGGAATGCAACAAATCGAAATAATTAATGAAAAGATCTTGACCCCTTCAACTGCACCTGATAAAAACAGCTGGTATGCAACAGTAGCAATATGTAGTGGAACTTTGCGGTATGAGCATTCACGAGAAACAATGCCCTGGTGAAAGTCATTGTCATGATTATAACAACCTCAAAATGACTGCAGAAAAAGTTGTGTCCATAGCAAGCATTGGATAGGATAGGGTGGATAAAAGTCTAACCAGATCCTTCACAAATATATCAAGTGAAGATAATGGCGTATAATCATTGTCCACCATGTGCGGAACCCGATTCTCAAACATCCTGCAACAAAACCACATTTTAGTCACTAAATAAATGCATAAAATTGGAAAGCCATGCCAAATATGAACACGAACAAATAAATTTAAAAAAGAGAGGCCATAATGTATTGTGATATTAACAGAAAAGCCATAGGTGATAAGAGCAAGTCTAGAATGGATGAATGCTGGTAGATATGTTACTGTTAAGCTGTGTGGAATGAAATTCTCAAAGATCAAGTTTTCAAAATTTCTGCCTCAAAAATCAGATCACATAGTCAAAATCGGATGACTACCAGAACAGCGTGCATTGCATTTCATCAAGAATCCAACAAATTAGGCATCGCCTATAATTTAATTATGGACAATGATGACCAAGAAAATTCAGCATTACTGAGTCAAGTCTAGGTTCATACAGATAGGAGGATAGAACTAATAACGTACAGGTTAGGCAATAGGATTTCATGTTTCTATAGCTAGGTGCATAAGCACATTAACAGTACCACAAAGCTCAGTAGATTTTGCTAGACATGCCCTTTTCTTGCCCTAGAGGAGACCTGGAGTATAATTTCAAATAAGACCAGCTACAAGAAAAGGAGTAAATAATCTGAGGCATCACTACATTACCATTCACAATAATTGAGGTGCTTCTACTTGGGAAGTTCAGGAAATTACAACTGCATGCTGTGATTATACTACTAGTACTATGTCATACAAAATTATTTTTGTAGAACATCAACTACATAAAAAATTATTTTACTGAAAGATCAATCACCGCATTACAGTTTGCATGATGCATACCATGACGTTCCTCCACTATTTGTGATGACATCAAACAACAGTCTTGTATTAAGACCAAGTCGAGCCCCAAATGCCATTGCCTCAGCTGCTGATGCTATATGAACTCCAGCAAGCAGTTGATTAACCATCTTTACACCACTAGATAGAAGTACAGAAGTATAGGGTCATCATGCATCATGGGAAGAATCAATAAATACATACAACACATGGTCATGTATGGTTATAAGTGGCATATACATATATATATTTGGACAACCCAAGTGACCTGGTAAAATGACAATTTCATGCATAAAGAGACAAAGACCAACTCAGAGGTACCTTCCGGCTCCACAACCTCCTTTGATAACATATAGCTTCTCACTTAATGCTGTTCACAAGAAACAGCCAACGATTATTTTGTAGGATCAAAATTTCAACCATAATTGAAACATAACAATCAAAATCACCAATTGAACTTTCTTCAACAAGCATATACCTGAGAGAACAGAACCAGAATGCTTAAGAGCTTCATCTGTACCAGATGCGATTATCTAATAACAAAAATTAATTTCAGCTAAATATTCAGACAACAAACATTGAGAAGAGCTATTTGGGTTGAAAAAATGTAAATATTTCTCAAAATAGTTGCCATGAAAACGTTTTAACTTCACACCGTAAGTGTACCCATGGAGGCCCTCTTAACACCACCAGAAACGGGAGCATCCACCAACTTCAAATCCTTGGGTTCATCTACAAATTTGCAGGTGAAGTATTTTAGTGTGACCTCTTAAAATAAGTATAGGAGCACAGTGTAAAAGAATCTTAGAAGAACTAAATGAATTCAATGAGTATCACAAACATAACTACAATAAATGCCCTAAACAATGCAGAGCCACGAGTAATCTCTCTAATTTGTAGTCCTTCCTCCCAATTCAAATACAAAACCCCATCTGTGTAATTCCTGCTAGCAAAAAGGATAATACCACTTCGACTGTGTCCAACAGCATAGCAGACTAATTACAGATTTTCTTTGCATGCATGTAGTATAATAAAATGAAACATTATGCATAAATTAATGATATTAGCACTCCATTTTATTAGCACTCCATATGGAGACACAGAAGAAATTGTATTATTGCATTTATCTTCAAAAGCAGCAGTTGGCTACACACAAGCAGCACATTTTTAAGAGGGCACAATGCAAGCAGCACCTCGTACGTCAACACGCAAGCAATGATGTCCCCTAATTGATTTTACTAAACAATATAAAATTTAAAAAGAACTTTGCAAAACACGACCAATCATTGTCATAAATAAATGTTTTGTTGGGAACCTTATGACCAAGAAGTTTTGACAGGATTAAAAATCCACCAATGTAAGGTAACACCAAAATAATGGGAGATGTGATAAGTTATCAAACCAAAGCAAGCTACAAAAAGAATAAATAAACAAAGTGAAATGAATATAAAATATTAATGTACAGCATAGGAACTGAAGCTACCATTAGCATTACTATGGGGTAGCAATCTCGCAGATAGAGGACCTACTTTGCAAACGTCGCTCTAGCTGGCTGACATATGCGGGAGAAACAGTGGATGAAATGATGACAGATGCTCCAGATGGAAGGGCTATAAAAATGGCGATAGGTCAGTCCTGCCCAATAATATATGTAAAAAATGTAAGATACTGTATTATACCTGACACAGCACCAAGATCTCCATATAGAACACTTTCGGCTTGAGCTTCATTTGTGACCATGATTACAAGAACATCTACATCTGGAAAAACAATTACAATTCTCAGAAACATGGTTCTTGCTCTGCAATGATTAGATACTGAGCTCAATATTTGGTTACAAACATCCAACAATAATTTTACTGTGCAAATCTGCAGAGAGCAGATTATACAAATTAAAAGCTGATAGAACAAGGAGAACGCTCTAATGAGAAGCATGGATACAAATATAGGACACAGATACAACACAATACCAACATGCTGACACCGCAATTTTTTTTTAAAAAAAATTAGGACACAACACGGTATGGACACATCAAAAAATAAATATGTTTTATATATACATGAAAATAATAACTATTTCCTCAGTTTTTAATTAAAAATACATTTATAGTTCATCATATCAGAATAGAAAGAGATCATTTTCCGCATTCTACATATTGGAAAAGAAGTGTGAAGAAAAAAATCATAATAGCTACTTTAGAAAACTCTATTCATAAACAAATTGAAAGTTGTAAAATTCTTAACATTAAGAAGTCTATGTTTGTTTGACAAAGAAAAACTTAGATTACTTACCCAAAAAAAGGAAAAACTTAGAGAATAATTAGACAATCATCCCTTTTTGTATTAATAATAGGTAACTTACAATGGAAGCTTTGGAGGCACAAATAAGGAAATAACAGAATAAAGAAATACCTGCTAATAAAATAATCAATACACAATAACCAAAGATATTATTCTAACTAGATATTATTCTAACATTCCTCCTCAAGCTGGTGCGAATATATCTCTCATGCCCAGCTTGCCAAACACATCATGGAATGGTTTGCTTCCAATTCCCTTGGTGAGAATGTCTGTTAGTTGTTCAGCTGACTTCACAAAAGGAGTACATATAGTGCCACTGGTGAGTTTGTCCTTAATGAAGTGGCGATCAATCTCCACATGTTTCATTCGGTCATGCTGAACTGGATTGTGAACTATGTTAATAGCAGCCTTATTATCACAGTATAGCCGCATGGAATCAGTATGACTAATCCCCAGATCACTTAGTAGCAACTTGATCCACAAGAGTTCACATACACCTTATGCCATGGCTCTAAACTCGGCCTCTGCACTAGACAGAGCGACTACATTATGTTTCTTGCTCCTCTAAGTAACCAAATTACCTCCAACAAAGGTACAATAACCAGATGTGGACCTTCTATCAATTATTGATCCTGCCCAATCAGCATCTATATAAACTTTCACTCGAAGATGATCATGTTTGGAAAAATAGAGACCATTTCCTGGAGAAGATTTTAAGTATCTAAGGATGCACATTACTACAGCCAAGTGTGTCTGATGAGGAGCATGCATCAACTGGCTAACCACACTAACTGCCATGGCAATGTCAGGACGAGAACTAATCTCTGATAACTCCCCCTAACAACAATAGCTCCCCCACTATCATCGCTAAGTTTCTGGTTTGGCTCCAATGGTGTATCACAAGCTTTACTTCCAAGCATCCCGATTTCTTTCAACAGGTAAAAAACATATTTCCTCTAACAGATGAAAATTCCATCCTTGGACCGGGTAACCTCAATAACTAGAAAATATTTTAGATTTCCCAAGTCTTTTATTTCAAACTCGCTGTAAATATTTTAGATTTCCCAAGTCTATCATCTCCTGTAAGTACTATGTCATCCATATAAACAATGAGAATTATAGTCTTATCATGTGAGGAATGCTTCACAAACAAAGTGTGATCAACCTAACTCTGTTTGAAGCCATATCGGAGCATAGCCTGAGTGAATTTCTCAAACTAAGCCCTTAGAGACAGTTTGAGACCATATAATGACTTTCGAAGCCTGCATACTTTTACCTTTCGTCTCAAAGCCAGGAAGAATGTCCATATACATCTCTTCTTCTGGATCATCATGTAAGAAAGCATTTTTTACATCAAACTGATGAAGTGGCCAATCCATATTAGCTACAAGAGAGATAAATACTCTGACTGAATTCATTTTAGCCATTGGTGCAAAGGTCTCTTGATAATCTACTCTACAAGTCTGAGTAAAGCCCTTTGCCACTAGTCGAGCCTTGTAACGCTCAATTGAACCATCTGCTTTATGTTTCACAGTATACATCCATTCGCATTCTACAGGTCTTTTGCCCTTAGGTAACTCAGTTAATTCCCAAGTACCATTCTTACGAAATGCTTTCATTTCTTCTATCATGGCATGTTTCCACTCAGGGATAGCAAGAGCACCTAAAAATGATTAGGTATACTAACAGAAGAAAATTTGGACACAAAGTCTCGATAAGAAGGAGATAAATTAGAGTATGACACAAAATTAGAAATGAGACGTTTAGTACAAGACCTCACACGCTTTCGTTGAGCAATAGGAATATCAAGATCAGTATACTCAGGAGGAGTAAGGGTTTCAGAGTTACCTGGACTCTCATCAAAAGAAGAAGATAGTAGTAGATGATCAAAAGTGGTCTCTTGTATCCAAGTAACTTTATGTCTGTGTTTGTCCCTGACGTAGACTTTTCCCTCCTTCAATTCACTAGATTCTGTATTACCACCACTAGTAGTTAGTTCACCTTCTGTGTTCTCAACCACTGGTGATGAGCCAGGAACTAATACAGACCCAAGAATCCCTTCACACCAAGGCTCCTCCTGAAGGGAGGGCGGGGACCCTAAGGAGGACTGTGACAAGAAATAGGACTGTAACTCAAAGAATGTTACATCTATGGAGACAAACTACTTACGAGATAGAGGATGGTAACACTTATAACCCTTTTGAGTAGGAGAGTAATCTAGAAAGGCATACTTCAGAGAGCGGGGATCAAATTTACCACGAGAAGAAGCATGATTGTGGACAAAACAGACAACCAAAGACTTTTGGGAGAATAGAGAACACATACTCAGAACCTAAGAAAACCTGGAGAGGAGATTTTTTGTGCAACACTTGGGTTGGGAGACGATTAATAAGGGAGGCAACAGTGAGAACTGCGTCCCCCCAGTAAGACCAGGCACATGTATAGAAAAAGACATGCAACAAGCTATATCAAGAAGATGACGATTCTTGAGTTCCACAACCCCATTTTGTTGAGGAGTACTTGTGCAAGAAGTCTGATGAATAACGCCATAGGTGGAAAAATAGCTTGCTAGACTAGAATCAGTATACTCATCCCCATTATCAGAATGTAATATTTTGACAATTGCCCCAAATTGAGTACATATCATTTTATGAAAATTATGAAACATAGAAAAAACCTCACTTTTGTCTTTTATAAAATACACCCAAGTAGTACGAAAAAAATCATCGATAAAAGTAACAAATCATCTATGACCTTTTAAAGACGTAATACGAGAAACATCAGAGTGAATTAAGGAAAATGGTACTAAACTTTTATTAAAGTTTGGAGCAAACGAAGCTCTGTGTAATTTTTCAAGTTAACAAGACTCGCAATGAAACTCAGAGACATTATTGTTTTTAAAAACGGAAGAAAATAAATTCTTAAGTAATAAAAAAGATGGGTGCCCAAGACGCTGATGCCACAGCCATAGGTCTTCCTTGGTGGTTGGAAACTTGATGGAATGAAGTGTCGGCTTGTCCGCCTGATCTAGGATATAGAGAGCATATTCTACTCTATCATTGCCAATCATCTTCCTCATGATAACGTCCCGAAAGAGACAACGAACGGGAAAGAAAGTCACACTACAGTTCAGGTCATGAGTAAGACGACTTAATGATAAAAGATTAATAGAGAAATTGGGAACATGCAAAACAGAAGATAATGGTAGAGAAGGAGTGGCATGGATTAAACATTTCCCAGAAACAGAAGAAACTGTACCATTAGCAATCCTCACTTTGTCCTGACCTAAAGAAGGCTTATATTCCAAGAACATATCAGAAGACCCAAACATATGATCTGAGGCACCAAAATCAATAATTCAAGATAAAGACTTATGAGATAGAAAAGCACTTGGAGAAGCGGCTAAGTTACCTATGTACCGGATGGAGTAGTAGAAAAGTAACGATCCAGTAAGTGGTGCAAAGCATCCTCTAACTCAGAAGAAGACATTCCAAATATATCACCACTAGAAGGAGCAACTGAAGAGGCATCGGGAGTATCCACTGCACTGGTATGATGTGCACGTGGATTAAACCCGCGTCCTCGAGACTGTCCAAAGCGACCCCCACGACCACCAGAAGGAACCCCATGAAGCTTCTAACAAGTCTTATGGGTATGTCTTGGCCGGCGGTAATAATCACAGAATAGTGTATCGTTCTCTGAAGGACTAGGGGAAGTACGAGGCAGACCAGTACCATCCCTCGGAGGAGCAGAAAGTAAGGCTGAGCACTCTGTAGAGGTAGATGGCAATATAGCAGAACGACGGCTCTTCTCATTCTGTATATAAGTAAAGGCTTCCTAAAGGAAGGGAAGAACATCCATACCAAGGACACGACTCCTAACATGATCAAACTCTAAGTTGAGACCTTCCAAAAATTTGAAGGCCTTTTCCTGTTCAATAAACTTTCGATAACCCACTGAATCAGTTGTGCAAACAGGCTTATAACCCTGTAGCTGATCAAGACGTTTCCAGTCATTGTTAAGAAAAGTGAAGTACTGAAGGACGGTCATCTCCCCCTGTACTGAGGGCTCAATAGAACGACGCAACTCAAAAGTCTGTGAGAAATTCCCCTTCTGGGAATAGGTAGTGGCCATAGCATTCCACATATCTTGGGCGATATCCATAGACAAGTGGCCTTCCCCTATATCAGGTACCATGGAATGGATGAGAGGTCCCATAACTAAAGAATTGGTAATCTCCCATTGGTCATAACCTGGATCAGTGATGTCTGGTGCCTTGATCCTCCCATCAACATAACCCATCTTCCCTTTACTCTTCAAGAAAAGTGTCAGACACTGTGGCCAAGTAAGGTAGTTCCAACCATTAAACAAAGAGGTGGTGATTTTTAGGCTAGGGTTTAGGTTTTTGGATGTAGTAGTCATAATGGGACTCTCCCCTCTAGGTGGCTGAGAAGTAGTGGTGGATTTACTAGTAAGGTCATCCATTTATACTCTACAAACCAAATAACAACCTGCACTAATCACGAATATTGAAAGAGGAAATAAAATCAACTGGACCAAGCAATATCAATTACAGACCATTATAGGAGCATACCAATCAGTCAAAGCTGGGTAATGGGGCCATATAATGACCCAAAAAATAACTAAACTAAATGGAAAAAGAACCTCCAATCAAAACAACGGCTAAGCTATTCTCAAATAAGGCAAAACCTTGCCAGACTTGAGGAATAGTGGTAGAGATGAACTGATCAAAACATGCAGTGGGTCAAAGAAGCCTCAGAGTGGCTGTCGGCTGAAGCCGAAATAGGCTGGGAGCTTTCGGCTTGGGCCGAAACAAGCCAAGGAGCTTTCGGCTTGAGCCAAACAACAAACAGGGACGGTTGGCTGGTCCTGGGTGCTCACCAGTGACTATCGCAGGCCCTGGACAGAGCAGAGAGGGTTGAAACACAGTGGGCAACAGTTAGGTGGTGATGGGTGAAGGTGGAGAATGAGATGGTAACCCTAATGCTCTGATACCATGTTTGCTTGTTTGAGAGAGAAAAAGTTAGGGAATAATTAGACAATCATCCCCTTTTATATTGATAATTGGTATCTTACAATGGAAGCCTTGTAGGCACAAATAAGGAAATACCAGCTAATAAAATAATCAATACACAATAACCAAAGACATTATTCTAACAAGATATTATTCTAATAGTCTAATGGGGGAGTTATTAATACGTATAAATTCACATTGCTTTTATTTTATCATTGGATTCTAAGTAATTTTCTTCAAACTTGCAATGTGTTTCAAGTGTGTCTAATCAATGGATACGTGTGTCCCCCAAGTGTCCGAAGTGTTTCCAATTCTAAAAATAAACATAATAATACATGTTTGGACGCATTGCCAATATGTGTCGGGAGTGTCCGAAAAGTGTCATATGAGTAGAAGTGTTAGTGCTTCTGGCATTAAGGTCTGGTTACTTGTTAGACAGATTTGAATTAGACATAAATTTAGCAAATAGGAAAACAAAAGCATGAAAGGAGTAGCCTACTCCACAAGGGTGGCTTGAGATACACACACAAGTCAACAGGGAAGTTCCACACTGGCTCTTTAATTCCAACTCTAAATTCATAATCAAGCAGGGGCCTCTCTATGTGGACACTAGTAAACCATAATGAGAAATAAACTTTCTAAAAATTACCCCATTTTAGAGACTGTAAAAGATTCAAAATCTACCAAAATAAGTAATTCTAAACAAGTAATTGGCTGGATTACAGCCCAAGAAAAGTCTCCTAACCAACACACAAACTATAGCAAAGAAATCCCTAAAAATAAAATACATCCAGACATTCTAAAGCTCCTAATAGGGGACTAACAAATTCTAATCAAGAATAAAATGAAGACTCATAAATAAACAAACTTCATATTAACTAGACAAACTTGACATTATTTGCTTGGGATTTGTCCTCTTCTACTTACTGCTTCTGCATCACAATGTGACACATTCATGTGAATAATTGGGGCTTATGTTTTCAATGAATGAACTGAGATTTCAACTATATTACACTGAAAATCAATTGTGAGAACAAGATGGCAAAATTTGTTACTAGCAACGTGGTCAAGCAAGACGAACTCAACACTGGAAACAGTTTTGAGGCATGAGAGTTAAATAATAGGAAGACAGTTTTAGCTCCTGAGACATTTACGTAAGATTTTTCTACAAAATTAGACCTCAGAACTTAAATCTGTTTTCTTATGTTGTAGAGCTTTTAAAAAAATTACCTTTGGATACTTCAGCTGGAGAGCTCCCAATCAAGCCACCCTCATTTGCAAACTGAGATAATGTCGGTTTATACACCTACAAGCCAAAGACAAAGCAACTACCATTAATTTTGAAGATATCTTTTACTTCTATTCAGCGTGGAGGAATATCCCATACAAAGTATTGTGCTTCAAGCCTTCAGAGTGGGACAAGTGCATGGATACAAAGAAACTCATGAATGAATACTTGAATAGTATAACAAACAAGTAAAAAACCAGTAAATTTATGTATAGACTTAGAGCACAAAACTCAGCAAATAACCAAAATTCAAATGAAGGAATGACCATACTTAGGGCTGGTTTGGCATAGTTTAATAAAGACAAAAAGCCAAAAGTTATTAAAAAAGACAAAAAGTTATCATTATTCACAAAAATATATATATATATATAAAAATAATAAATTTATACAAAAAAAAAATTACAAGTCAAGTTCAACTTTTGTAATGAAGTGATGGTGTTGTCTGCAAACTGCAGTGATGGTACAAACAATCAAGCGGATGCACTTCTCATGTCATTATACACAGGACAATGTTATTGGGCCCATGGGGGCCCATCACGGGTCCTGTTATGATAATCTGAATCATTCAATGTGTAAAACTCGTCGAGTACTATATACCTATAAAAAATTACGTTAATCGGATATCGATAACTATATGATCAAATCAGTTTTGTATCAAAAAAATGGACAGTGAACAAATTAACAGTTGACAAAAAACTAATCCGATCAGATAGCTATTGATATTCGATCAATGTGATTTTTTACAAGCATATAGTACTAGATGAGTTCTACACATTTAACGGTTCCGATTATCAAAACGGGACCCGTAGTGAGCCTCCACGGGCCTAACAGTACCCGTGAAGCCTCATCCTATATACATATATGTTCTAAAGTTATCACCATTTTGAAAGCAATCCGTACTGTCCTTCAATCAGCACTGTCAGTGCACATAGGACAAAGGGGTAATAACATAATTTTGCTATTTTATACAATATTTTAATACATATTTTTTCGTAAAAGGTCAAAACGTTATCCCAAATAATCATCTTTTATTCCTCTATTTTTTTATCCAAAAAGTCAAAAAATGCACTTATTTAGAACACCCCAAACAATCCCTTACTATTCATACTACAAGACTCGGTAATCTAGATAAAAATAACCATGTGTTCCTTTTTCATATAATGCAGACTCGGTCAAAGTAGTCAGACCTTTCATAAAAGAATGTATTGTGGAAACAATATGTGGCTTTTGCAGTCACAATTTAGGTAAAAATTTCATTTTCTTGGAGAGATCATTATGAGTGACATCCTTTTCAACAGATAATACCAAGTAAAGGTTTCTCAGAGGCAAACACAAAAATATCTATATTTCATTATTTATTATTTCCAATTCTCTAAAGGCAAGAAAGCAGGCCCATTAATGGCTTTATTTTCTACTGATCTCAACAGTCCCTCTGAGGATGTCATTGAAATTCCTAATAAGTACAATTATTGCACATAATTCAAGAAAATATGTAACTGGAGATATTATGAATAAAACATGGACCAAAACTGCAACCAATGGAGTATTTCAATTTCCATTTTCAGGTAATAAATTGGAAGCTAATACCAAATACAATACTAAATGGAGGCAAAACATTACATCATAAGCAATAACGCAGAAATTTGATCTCAGCAGGTGAGTTGCCATGCCAAACCCCATTGCTCCAAGACCAATAAAACCAATTCGGTTTACAGATTTTGATTCAGTAGTTATTTGATTTGCCAGTTCCTCAGGGCTATAAGTTTCTGCATTGACAGCATTGGTAATGTTCACCCCATATACTTTCTCCCAAGCCTGTACAAGAACAGGTGTGTCTACTTAGCAAATGGCACGTCAATAGTTACATAACCTCAAAGCAAGCAAAAAAGCCACATAATATAACTTTTATATAAAAGAAATTAGTTCATGAGAACAACCTTGATCAATGTGTCATCACCATCATTTCCATGACCGTGAGAAGAGCCTGTGAAAGGACAAATGGAAAGTAACAAAGTGAGTATCAGGTTGCTCCAAAACGTTAATAGCTGCCACCTACAGATTATGGTTGTGAGAAACTGTAAATCATGCACATACATACCTGCTATTAGTTGTTGACAAGCAACTGCCAGAAGTGGAAGAGGAAATGTACATGATTTGGCCATATCCAAAACAATACCCTTCAAGTTGGACAAAAACCCATCAGGCATAATTGACTCATCCAGCCCTTGATAGAGCGAAATAGAGGAAAATGATTCATGTGACTGACCCCACTTGATTGGGGACACAAGGCTTAGTTTGGTTTGGTTTGGTTTTAGCTTTGCAGTTCACAAAGAGATCTCTATTGAATAAGAGTTCAAGGATTTGAAGAAGAATTTGTTTAGATTAGAATGACAAAGCTGTCCACTTAAGTTCTTTCCAATAAAGTGATTAAGCTGAATAGGATTTTAGTATTTAAGATAACCAACTTATTTTTTTCTCACATTAGCACTTCTACACTTCAATGCCTAGCCAAATAAGTCTTTACTATTTTCTACATCATAAAAACATAAGTTCTCTTAATGTGAACTTTTTCCGTACATTACTTTATTTTATCAATAATGAGTTCTTAAAAAAATAAGTGGATAAGAGACCCATTTAAGAATGTGATTCTGAATTGAGGTCTACCTTACAGTATCAATATCTCAAAAATCATTATTGAAAGTCTCAATGTGTCCAAATTCATTGATGAAGAAATGATTACCAAGTGGTGTTCATGTCTAAAATTTTAGTATGCATTTAGCAGATGGTCCTTAAGTAAATGTCCTAAATGCTAAATCCGCCACAAGAAAGGAAGCATAATTTGAATGGAATTATAAAACTGCAGTTAGCATTTAATTCATCCAAAACCCCCATTGAACTTAACTTCAAAGTCAAGAAGAAAAGAAATTACTCATAATACACTTGAACAACACTAAGAAACTTACAACATGAGAAGACTTACCAAATTTTGAACAAAAGTATTCAGGAGATGTTTGGTTTGATTATCCCTTAGCAACTGGGGAACATGATTCTTGAAAACCCTGTAAAATTGAATCCAACGGAAGGATGTCTAGTAGCAAGGTAACACAGTATCTGCTCAAGAAAACGCTAGCAAATTCCAGGAATGTCATGAAAAAAAAAACTAACTACGGCACTTACATATACCAACACCAACCACCAAAGCCTTGAATACCTATTGAGTTAGTATAAAAATGCACAGATCTTTGAAAGTAAACAGATGTTCCCATGTATGTGTATACATGTAAGCACATAACAACAAGGGCTTTCAGTGTTCAATAAATTTTGCAGCTAATTTCTTTAAAGGCATGGGTTCTACAAAATCAGTTCATTGTCAGAAACAGAAAGTGCCAATCAGTGCTATGGTCTCAACTGGTGCCCATGGTGCAAATCAGATTATTAGCAGTCTCATCTATCAAGGTTGTGCCTGATCTAGAATTGACAATTTCGGATCAGAATGCTTATAAGGAATGCTTCAGGACTAGAAATATTTAAATTTTAAACACACAACATAATCCTCAGTAAAGAATTGTGAACAATAATTTACCATGAATTTCCAGCAGCATTAGAAATAATGTCATAAATCATCCATGGATGAATACCAGCTTGGGCACCAAGAGAAATGGCCTCCACAGAAGAAACAAAATGAATGCCCTCAAGCAGCTCTATTACCATTTTAATTTTGCTGCAATTTAAAAAAGAAAAGTAGACATTAACAATAACATCATCTAATATGATATTAGAACCCCTAACATAAATAAACAAAGAAAAAGGGCCATTCCCCTGTGCCAATCCCTGTTAAATTGGGTTAAACACCTAGTACAAACAAATTTACTATCAAGTGGCACAAACAAATTTAGGGGTTGGTTGTATGGATGCGAGTAGCAGTAGTAGGGGTATTTTTATACTTCCGAATCTCTCTCGATGCATCTCATCTTCCTGTAAGGGCCATTCCCCTGTGCCAATCCCTGTTAAATTGGGTTAAACACCTAGTACAAACAAATTAAAAAAAAAGTGGCACAACCAAGACACAATTAAATTATCATTTGAAAAGCATTGTTCAGAGATATGAAATTACTTAAATTTGTATTGGAAAATTCAAGAATCATTTAGTTGTAAGTTTATAGTAAATTAGATTTGACTTGGTTTACACAATCACTAGTGTAATATTAGGTCAGGTGTTGTTTTCTGTGCAAAGCCATTAGTTTTTTTTAACCAAATTTTAATTCCACTTTTTGTTTCCAGTATTTACATGTCATCAGAGCCATATCACTACTAAGAAGCAGCAGTTCTTGTATTCTTGTCAAGTAAAAAAAATCTCCTATGGTTTCCTAGTGCTGTCTTGTGAATTTTCTAGTCTCCAATGGTTCAATAGCTACATGCTGAATATTGTTATAATTTAGCAATAGAAAGAGACAAAATGCTATATATTAGTAATGTTGCTCCAATGATGACTTTTCTCCCTCCATTTATTCTCCCATTTCAACTATCATTTCAAAATAACAAGTACATGCTACATAATCAAACTTTATTAACTTAATTTAGAGTTACATACTGCAAAATAAAATAACATAAGACATAATCATGGAAGAGGAAGAACATAATAATCTGAGTTGCTTGATCATGCCAAAATTTTTGTGCTTGATTGTTCATTTAGAGGTATCTCAAGTCAGCTCTTGTGAAATGGATCCTGCGCTCTAACCATGATCACTTAAGATTGAAAGCATTTACTGATGCAAATTGGGTTGGTTCAGTCGATGATAGACAAAATGCAAACATGTGTGTATAAGAAGAGAACATGTGCCTACTTTTGGTGTCTCTCATTAGCCTTTTCCTATATTTCTCTCTCTCTTCTCTCTCTCTCTCTCGCTCTCTCTCATTCTTCTTGTCTTCATCTTTTACCCTAAATTTAATTGTCACCAATTTTATATGAAAATTTGTCTCAACAACACAATTCAAATTGTTCTAAAAACTAAACATGACAAAGAAATTGGTAAGATTGTGAAGAAAGCCCACCTTCCGGCACCAAGTGCCCCCTCAAAAACATAAAGTCTCTCACTCATAGCTGTTTGAAAAACACAATAGTTTGTCTTAGAGATGAAATAGAAAATTTAAAAGTAGTGATCAAAAAACTAAATCCTCATGCAAGTGTTGCAGAGTAGTGACACGAGTAGATTGTACCAGAGAGAATAGGGCGTGCCCTTGTAATGGCATCTGACTGTCCTGATGAAATAATCTGTGTATTATAGAAATATCAGCTTCCGCCAGTTATAAAATAGCAAAACAAAAGCAAAATGATCCTCTACTTATGTGAGGAAGAAATAGGATAGGAGAAATATAATCTTACCATTATTTTGCCATTCAAAACCTCTGACATTCCCTTAGAGACATATATATCAACTACAAAAACTCTCTCCAAATCCTCTGCTAGAGTAGAAACAGATTAATGATTAGAGGAGTTCGAAAATGTTCAATGCAGATGTAAGTTTAGCACAAGCCGAGCAAACACCAAATTCTTTCTTTTGCTTTTCCATCAAGTTAGATGTAACCAGTAACCACTAGACTTCTAAGGCATAAAATTGGTATAACAGTAAAGAACGCATTATTATTGAATGTTCTACTCTCTTCTTCTTTTTTTCTTTTTTGCTTTTTTTGATAAGTAAATAGAGTATAGATTGATAGAACACAAAGGGTCATCACCCCTGTACATTAGAGATTTGCAGACAGAAGAACAAAAAACAAAACAAAAAAAGAAAGACATTAAACCTTCCCCAAAAGATAAACTATATTCTCTCCCTAAAACTTAATTCCCCTATAAAAATCCACCAAAAAAAAGGAAAAGTCACAAGCCTTCTCCTTCATCTAAGTAAGGTTAGCATTAGCCTATGAGTAGCCATCTCTATACCCTCCAAGGCACATTGATTTCTTTCTCCAAACACACCAAATTAAGCACATAGAAACCACCATCCATATGCCTTCTCAATCATCTTCATATGACACCTGAGTTCAACAACCATAGAAGCTGTAACACAAAAGCAAGCATAACACAAATCACCTGAAAAATAGAAAATAAGAAACTATAAATCTCTCGCAGCGTAATATATCAAAAGATGATCAACAAACTCCTCAGCTTGCTTGCACATGCAACACCAACTAAACTAAAAAGCAGCCCCTCTGGCGCAAATTGTTTATATTAAGAATGGCATCAAAAGCCGCCATCCAAGCAAAAAAGACGACTTTGGTGGGAACTCCCAACTTCCAAATAGTCTTCCAAGTAAATATCCCGACCCCCAACCACAAATGAAAAAATAAAATGACTTAACTATGAACTTTCTCCCTTGTCCTTCCATTTCAATTCATCTCCCCTGCCCTTATTAACCTTCATATCAATAATGGAGGGCATGATCCACTAGGCAGAGTTAAAAAGCTGCTAAAGCTCTATAATCTCATTAATGGAAAAATAAGCATAAGAACAACTATGGCTGTCTATGATAAATCTTGAGTAAAAATGATGAAACAGAAATGAAAGAAAAGAAAGAGTATCATAACACACTGTTGAGCTGCCGATAAATCTAAAACTAACTAGCACAAAACTATGACAACATCCACCAACAAACCAGACTGAACAGAAAAGTTAACCAAGAGTATAAAAGAAAATTCTATATAAATATTTTTTTTATCTAGAGAAAATAAATTGCCTGTGAGTCGCTTCTCGAGCTTCTGTATATGAGCAGGTAGTATGGTTGAATGGAGAATGATGACAGCATCTTTGCGTAACCCTGCATAACCAGAAAAGAGTATATTCTGAACATCAACCAAGCAGACTAATTATTAATTCAGAAAACATTAAGGATCTCCACAAAACCTTTTAAAGCACTCTCATGACCAAAAAGTAGGTCATTTATTTGATCTGCATGAGATATCAATACAACCAAAGCTACAACATCTGCATGCAAAGAAATGAGAGAAGGAAGCATCAGAAAGTCAATTTCTAGCTCTTCAAAAAAATAAGGTCACAATTTATAGAGAAAATAAAAGAAGAATGTATTCAGTCAACTATGATCCAAAAGTATATATATAGATTATTGTTTTTAGTGTTCCTTTAGGTAGCTAAATGTACTGAGTTTTTGGTGCCTTCTAAGTTTTTGGTGTGTTAGAAAGCCCTTTTGTCTTTTGGGAGGTTTGTGTGCAAGTTGGGGTAATTGATACCACCAAAGAAATTGAATCTATCCAGCTCAAAATAAGAAAAATAAAATTAGAATTATGAAATAGCAACAAATTAAAATCAACATAATGTTTCACCTTTCCCAGCTTCTACGGGACAGGCGCATCTAATCCCGCCTTGATTGGTAAACTCATCCAGCAGAGGACTGCATGTCTGCAGATAAGCACAATGCAATCCAACATTGAAATTATGACAAACAAAAAATAAGATCTCCAAGTCTTTCTAAACGACCAAATAAATATGCAGCATAAAAATGTGAATGAACAAATGACTTTAAACATCTATGCCAAAGAAATGGTTGCGTGATTTGTATAAAAATAAAATGTAAATTAATAATATAACATACACAATTCTAATATGAGGGAATCTTTCTGTTTCAAAATTACTACTAAGTATTTTGGTAGTCACAAATATACAGCTTTATAAAAGAGAAAACAATTTATTATAACTCGCATCCATTTTCAAATTTCTTGCAAATGTAACCATTCATCTCCTCATTTATTATTGCCTTGCATCTTTGGTTATCATACAATGAATTATAAGTTCCTTCCATCTAATTCATTCCTCATTATTGATTTCAACCGTCATATTTTTAATAATCATGGAAAAGTTCAAAAGTACTCAATTTTAAAATGACCCTAAGCTAAACAAGCACACTTAGGTCATGTTTGATTCACAAGACTAATAGTGAATTATTAATAATCTTATTAAATTAGAGTGGTATTCATTATCCAATTGGATTAATATCCAATGGATTAATAATCCTGCCCCTACCCCATTACTAATAATCCTACAATTTTGTTGGATTAATTATCCATTGGATTAATAATCGTAAACTAAAATGTTAAAACAAACATAGGATAATTGGGCCCACGGATTAATAATCCCAATCTCATACTCTAATACACCTAATCAAACATGCCATTAGTGTATAAAAGTCACATCAACCAATGAAAACAAGAAGGAAGCTCTTTCCAAGACTTTTTTTTTTTTTTTTTTTTTCTTTCTGAAAACAGGGAAGGAGTGCAGGAGATAAAGGGAGCAGCCCAGTTGAAAGAGCCTAGTTCGATGCTTTAACTAAAAATGGCCTTTACACACAACCAACCCCTTAAAACTCTCAAAAGACTCACTACACCTATAAAAACTCTCAAAAGAACTAGAAGCTTGATGAAGCTCGAAACTAGGTGCTCATTGGTACCAAAGCAATTTTCTCATTTCTCTGCCTTTCAAGTTTGTTGTTTCATTGGAGTCTTAAGATATATATTAAAATAGTCTAATTACTTATCTTCCTTTATACTATTCGAAGTCATTTTGAACCCTTACATTCCTTTTACCAATCAAAGTCATTTAACCCCTTATCTCCTCCCTTCATACCAATCAAAGTTTATTAATTACAATCAGAGTGCTTTTGGAATCAAAGTCAAAGTCATTGCTTTTGGAATCAAAAATTCAAAGTCATTCAAACACACAGAAAAATTCATTGCTTTTGGAATAAAAAATTCAATCGCGAAATGCCCTGAATTCAATCGTGAACAAATTCAATGAACAAACAGAGAGATGGGAAATGAAGACAGACCTCAAAGGCTTGTACGGCATAGCCAGAGCGAAGGAGTGAGGAGGCCAATTGCAAGCTCAGTTGGTCCAAGCCAACGAACCCAATTACACTCTGAGACGCCATTGGAGCGAGGTCACAGGACTTTTTTACAACTCTACTCTGCTTCTTTATCTCAGAATCGATACATATAGTGCTGGAGTGAGAGATTGATTCGAGAGTAGATGAAGAGCGAGAGTGTTTGGAAGCAATTCGTCAACTAGCATAAGCTAGTTTTCCACGTTTCTTTCACCAACAATGCTAATCCCCCTAAATGACTCTACGTACGTTTGGTAGGTCCGTTTGGTACTATTAAATGAAATGAGATAGGAATGGAATCTATATCTATCTATACTTCTACCTATACTATATGACGGGGCTAAGCCATAAAGGTCTCATAAAGATCATAGTCTACTATAAATAACCTAAACTCTACCACTTGAAGTCCAGTACATAATCTAGCTGGTAGAGTTCAGAACAGCTGGAATCTAACATGGCACAAAGAGTCAATGACATTCAGACATATGGCCACTGCACATCACCATTAATGCGGCCCATCACAACATTTATTACGACAACACCTCTCCATCGGAACAGCACCACTTTACCCTGAACAAGGTAAGGTACAACATAGACTTTCGGCGAGGAGGGCAGGTCGGAAGGGACAGCAAAATGATTACCAAAGGATATAAGCAAACGTCGAAGACAAGAAGAAGGTTAAGCTTTCTATCTCTAATCTCTCTCTACACTCTACCTCCCCTTATAACTTGCTCGTCGGAGGATTCACTAGGAGACTACCCCGTTCCCCGTTGGACTTGTTTGTAGGTTATCCGGTGGGCTTGATCATTTGGACGTGGGCCTGAAGAGCTTGGACCTATCCGATCCATTCACTGGAACAAACTGTAACATTAGTTGGCGCCGTCTGTGGGAAAGACTTTGCTCCACGCACCAGTTGTGCTCATTGTCGCTGGAGACTCTATCTCAGCAACCTTTTCCTCCTATCCATCAAAGTATATGGTCACGACTAGATCCATGGCTTCTTACAATAACGCTGCCGACCATCAGGCCGACCCCCCCAATCCAAACAACCCACCGCAGTACTTTATCGAGCTTACTAACAGCATTAACCGCATGATCGAGCAAAATCAGGCCCTGATAAATGCTTTACTCCAAAGAAACCTTCCGATGCCTCCTCCACCACCTCCAGATATTCCACCCAACCAAGAAAGAGCCCCGAGCCACACTGTTCTGCAACCCTATCCACCCAACTTGAAAGGTTTGCAACCTCCTCCCCCACATATAAATCTACCACCTCCACCCCCACACCCGTCGGTCGTGGCACCAGCCCTTGAAGGAGAGGCCAGCAGCGTCCAGCCCCCATTGACCGACCGTGGTGACAACATTCCCCTCTAGGACGCTGAACTCCGAGCAATAAAGCTCCAACTCCAAGAGGTCATGCAGAACATTCAGCATAAACCCTCTACCACGGCAAACTCACCATTTGTTGCCTCCATCCGGGACAAACCTCTCCCCGCCAAGTTCAAGATGCCCACCATTGACTCTTTTGACGGTACGATGGACCCAGTCGACCATCTGGAGACCTACCGTACCCTCATGGTCCTCCATGCCTTCCCTGACGAGATCATGTGTCCGGCTTTCCCCGTGACACTGAAGGGGTCAGCTCGACTGTTGTTCAGCCAGTTACCAGCAGACTCTGTCTCCACTTTCCAGCACCTCAGCGACTCATTCCTTAGCCATTTCATTGGAGCCCAGCACCAACGCCGCCCGGCAACCCAACTCCTCAACATCCACCAGATCGAGAGGGAGTCGCTGCGCAGTTTCGTTACCCGCTTCAACACCGAAGCCCTGCAAGTAGCAGAAAACGATGACAAGGTCATCCTCACGGCTTTCATAGCTGGGCTACGATCGTCCGATTTCCTCTTCTCCCTCTCCAAAAACCCCCCGACTTCCATGGCAGCCCTACTCTCCAAAGCCCAGAAATACATGAATGCTAAAGATTCACTAGCCGCCCGGCAAGATCCAATAGCTAAAAACCCGACCCCTAGAGAAAAGAAAAAAGACTCAGAATCCAGAAACACCCAGTATAATAGCCAAACACCCCACTATACAGACCGAACCCCCCGCGCTGACCGGTCGGCACCAGCCCGACCGCCCGGTCGGTTTGAGCGGTACACCCCCCTTAATTCTCCCATGGAACAAATCCTCAACCAGATCCAACGGGACTACCCTCTTAAATGGCCCCTGCCTTCACGGACCCCTTCCAACCGAAAAGACCAGTCCAAATATTGTCATTTCCACCAGGACCATGACAATAACACTGATGACTGCATCAACCTCAAGGATCAGGTCGAGACCCTAATACGTCAAGGGCGTCTCAACCGATTCACGGACACCCGCCCACAGCAGAGGCAAAGAACCGAGCCCCTCAGAAACAACCGCCGGCGCACCCCACCCCGGCAGCCAGCCCAACCTAACCAAAGCTATGATCGCCCCCTACAACAGCCTCGGCCTCCAGGTAATCCCCCTCTGCCAGTCGATGAAATCCGAGTCATTTCAGGTGGCCTTGCTTGTGGGGGACCATCCCGCTCGGCTCAGAGGACAGAACTCAGAAAGATAAGGCAAGGCTTAGACAAAGCAGTTGCCACGGTAGACCGACCCTCCAAACAGCCCAAGCAGTTGACAGAGCCCATCACCTTCACGGACGCCGACTGTACAGGCATCCGTTATCCTCATGATGACCCTCTCGTCATTTCTGCCCTCCTCTCCAACTATAAGGTCAGACAGGTTTTCATCGACAACGGCAGTTCTTCAGACATCATATTCCTCAACTGCTTCTACCAGCTCAAGATTGGGGAGGAAAGTCTGTCTCCCCTCCAAACCCCTTTGGTCGGTTTCACTGGCGACCGGGTGACCTCCATCGGCTCCATCGATCTCCCCCTCACCATCGGCGAATACCCACGGCAGACTACCAAGTTGCTCACCTTCCTTGTGGTCGACTGTCCCTCTGCCTACAACATCATCCTTGGTCGCACCGCCCTCAACGCTTACCAAGTTATCACTTCGACCTACTACCTCGCCATAAAGTTCCCTACCGACTTGGGCATCGGGACAGTAAGGGGAGAGCAGACCGTAGCCAGGGAATGTTATGTCGCCTCACTCAAGGAAGTCAAGCTGAAGGAGGCCATAATCATTGAAGGACTTGACGTCCGAGATAAGGACGAGCTGGTCAGAGGAGAACCGGTAGAGGAGCTCGTTGAGATTCCCATCGATCCCACCAACCCAATGAAAACTGCCAAGATCGGCAGCCAATTATCCCCCCAAGCTAAGGTCGACCTTACTGCCCTTCTGATCGAGCACCATGATGTATTAGCCTGGACCCATTCAAACATGCCGAGCATTGACCCCTCTTTCATAACTCACCGCCTCAACATCAAACCCCATTTCCGACCTTACTGCCAGAAGCAGCGCATCTTTCATCCAGAGCGCAATACTCTTATAGCTGCAGAGGTTGACAAGCTCCTTGAGGCCCAATTCATCAAAAATGTGGATTACCCTAAATGGTTGTCAAACGTAGTCCTAGTCCCAAGAACAATGGCAAATGGCGACTCTGTGTCGATTACTCTAACCTAAACCGAGCCTGCCCCAAAGACAGCTATCCTCTTCCTCGCATAGATCTGCTGGTCGACGCCACAGCCGGTCATCAAATGCTCAGCTTCATAGATGCTTTCTCTGGGTACAACCAAATCCTGATGCACCCGTCCGATCGGGAACATATATCCTTCATTACCGACCGAGGTACCTACCACTACCGCGCGATGCCGTTCGGACTGAAGAATGCTGGGGCCACCTACCAACGGTTAGTCAATGCCGTTTTTCATCATCAGATAGGTCGGAATATGGAAGTATATGTCGACGACATGTTAGTCAAGAGCAAACTCTCTATTGATCATCTGACCGACCTGCGAGAGACCTTCGCCACCCTACGCGAGTACCAAATGAAGCTCAACCCAGAGAAGTGCGCCTTCGGCGTAGGATTTGGGAAGTTTCTGGGTTCTATGGTCAGTCAGCGGGGCATTGAAGCTAACCCTGAAAAGATCAAGGCCTTGATTGAGATGCAGTCATGCAGAACGGTTAAGGAGGTTCAAAGCTCACTGGCCGAGTTGCGGCCCTCAACCGCTTCATCTCCCGCGCAACAGATAAGTGCCTACCATTCTTCAAAGTTCTTCGGCAAACTTTTGAATGGACAACTGAATCTGAAGATGCTTTTCAGCAGTTGAAGCAGTGCATGGCCAATCCCCCCTCCTTTCACAGGCAATTACGAGCGAGCCCCTCTTCCTCTATTTAGCCGTCTCAAGCACCGCAGTCAATGTAGCTCTTATCAAGGAAGACGACTCTGTCCAACGGCTGGTCTACTACATCAGTCGAGCTCTCAGGGGAGTAGAGCAGAATTACCCGCTGTTAGAAAAATTGTTCTTGGCCTTGGTCACCGCCTCCAGACGGCTCCGTCCTTACTTCCAGGCCCATTCCATAGTGGTCCTCACCGACCAACCCTTGAAGAAGGTCATGCAACAACCAGAACTTTCTGGCAGACTCATGCAACGGTCAGTGGAACTCAGCCAGTTTGACATCTCCTATCGGCCTCGAACAGTAATTAAGGGACAGGCTATCGTGGATTTCATCTTGGAATTCACTAATCCTACCCCAACCACTGCCCCTCCAACCCTCACCAACCCCTACCGAGCCGGAAGACCCGTATTCTAGGACTCTCAACGTCGACGGATCATCCCCCAAGGAAGGTAGTGGGGCTGGCCTCATCCTCACCACCCCTGAGGGTGGCTATTTCAAATGTGCTCTCCATTTCTTGTTTAAAGCCAGTAACAATGAGGCTGAATATGAGGTATTGATAACAGGACTCTGCCTCGCCAAGGACATTGGAGTCAGCCACATCCGGGTGTTCAGCGACTCCCAGTTCATTGTCGGCCAGATTACGGGGGAATTCGATGCCAAGGATGACACAATGCGGGCTTACAGGGATATGGCACTCCCCCTTGTTCTCCTCTTCAATATCTTCCACATCAAGCACATACCTCGGGCGGAAAACTCCAAGGCAGATGAGATGGCCCAGTTGGCCTCTGCAGACCAGTCCGACCTCAGCCACGGTGTCCGCCTCGAATACCTAGCCCACTCGGCCATATCACCTGACCTACAAGAAGTGCAGTTTCTCCAAAACGAACCCATCCCTTGAGCCTCTGACATCTTCCTATTTTTGACAACGGGGGAACTCCTAGATGACCA